AACTCCTCCGCTTCTCCCTTTCTCTGCTCTCTCTCTCTCTCTTTGCATTGTAAATGTTATCAGATGGACGTCAGTAATCAGGTGTCTTCACCAGAGACAGTGCTGCAGATAACACACATTCACCAATCATCCTGACTTTCAGCAGCTCTGGCACTGTGTCATTTGATGTCACGGCAGCACAAGCCATTCCACCTGTTCCTTTCCTCAAATGTGTTTGTCTCTGATTGTCCATTGTTGAATTGGTCGTTCCATCATACTTTTATATTTTTTTTAACTTTCATTTTCATTCTTTCTCGTCAGTTTGAACAAGACTATCATTGATTGCCCAGGCCCGGAAGAAACGCATCTCTAAATTGCAATCAGATTTTTTTTTTTTTTTTTTACAATCCCTACAAACTGATTGCATTCCAAAAAAAAAAGAAGAAGAAAAAAAAGAAATAATGAAATAAATCACACAGTGTTTCCTGTCAGCTGCTACAGTTATAATGTATTCTGATGTGATCTCATTTTTTCTAGTCTTTTTTGTTTCTGCCCTTGATAAAAAGATCCTTCGTGCATTTTTCTCTGATAACACTCTCTGCTGGTGACAGATAAGAAATATAGCAAACGATGATGTTCTTGAGAATTATGTTAATTGCTACCGTTAGACAACCTCCACTCAAACAACATCTGGCTCACTTCCAGTGTGAATGACGGCTTGCTGCACATCTGAAGGTTGAACAATATTTGTGCAAATTCAAATCCATTTTTTTTTTTGCTCTTCTTTAAAATCTATTGAGGCAAATGGCAGCCTGTTTTCTAATGCAGCAAGTCCAATCCTGTACTTGGGGAGTTTACTCAATGCATTTGCATCCCAGGGCATCATATACTGACGCTTTTAGCCAATGCGTATACATCCAACGCACATGGCACCCTTTAGCGTCAATATAACACGCTTCGGTGTGGGTAGGTTTAGGTATGGGGTAGGGTTAGGGTTAGACCACTAGGAGGCGCCTTCTGCCCCATATATATCTGCGTCTCATATTGACGCTAAAGGGTGCCATGTGCGTTGGATGTCTACGCATTGGCAAAAGCGTCAGTATATGACGCCTTGGGATGAGAACGGGCTGGTTTACTACATAGGGAGCTGGTTATGTGATGCAAACGTCAAAATGTATCTTGCACGAAAAGTTGTTGGTGTTTTACGGTTCATTTCAGCTGGAAACCGCAGGGAATTCAGGTATATAGGTATAACTCTATGTACGAGTTTTACAAAAATTTAGGTACAGGCGTCTTTTTCCAATGAGCTTATGTTGGAAGGAATGGAAGTCAGTTAAACGTAAAATCGGTTAAATGAGACAGAAACCATTTTTAGGGTAATTTTAGTAAAAGCGGCAATACAGATGCCACTCAGATACCATTGTTGTCAGATATTGCTGTACATGTGATCGGAAGTATATTATTGAAACATAATTTTGTCAGATAGATATTAGCTGTATTTGTATTAGCACTTTTGATTAAATGAAACTTTAAATCCTTTGTTACTCTTTTGTTTTGATTTGGTGGAATCAAACTGGCCAAGTCACATGATTTCAGAAAATTGAAGTCATTGAAATTTCAGTGGTTTGACACTAGAGGCTGTTGATCTCAAGGTAAACCCTTAACCCTTGAATGCATGGGTAAAGGGTTTGTGGTACTGTATGTGTCTCAACCCAGTCATTATTACATATTAGTCCTGTCTTTTATAATATAAAACTCTCCTGGTATTGGAGTAATAATTACAGAAGAATAAACTTAAGCACATTTTGTTAACTTTCGGAGATTGAAAGGGTTCAGTGTGAGCTGATGTTTTATACTATCATCACTGTCCTCGTCAGAGCTCATTTCCCAGTACATTCAGCATCTGGCTCATATCGCCATGTCAAACAAATTCTCAAAACTATCATTTTCAACTTCTTCAAAATCAATATCTTGGTGACTGACAGCTTCTTTGTCATATCTAGCATCAAGTGACAGTGACACTTATATTTGACTGCATTCGGTGCTTGCTCTGCAGTAAATCACTGAGCCATTTCAAGCTTTGCTGATGATTCTTCCTATTCTTTTGTTTTCTGACTATGAATGAAACGTCACTTTATCATTGTGTATCAGACATTTTCTCTTGTTATATTGTTTATAATGAATTGATTGAGGAATACTAGGAAGGTTGATGTCTAACTTTAAAAAAATGAATGAGGAGGAGGGTAGTAAATGACGTCCCGGGTCACTAAAGACCTAAGGTATGCTTTTAAGGGTTAACCATATTCAAGTGGTTTGTCCTGGTATGTGTCCACTGGCGTAGGAACCGGGGGGGATGGGGGGGACGTGTCCCCCTCAATATTGAAAAATGCGGCATGTGTCCCACCCCAAAAAATTCATACCTAACCTACCGCAGGAACAAAAACTGTACATTTGGAACTTTTATTTTTAAAGCGCGACAAAAAGATATCCAGTTTTGCCAGCAAGTGAAACCCAGAGTGATCGTTAGGTTAAACCATTAAACCCGGTAAAACCTTCCCATTTCATGTTTGAATAATCACCATTCGCTTCATATATTTCACTCACTGGAGCATCTGATTGGTAGAGAGAAGTTAACAATACACTAGAAACGCACCAGCTTTGAACTGGAACCTACATGATTTATCTAATCTGATAATGTTATTTTTGTTATTAGCTCCATGTTACTTATAATATCACATACCTTTGTTTGCAGTTTGAATAAATAATAAACAGAGCAGTTTGAACTCTTCTCCACTTTATTATTATACCACACATCAGATCAGTAACTCCAAAATCCTGCGCACGACCCATCTACGGCAAGCCCCGAGGGGAAAAATACATTGCATACACAAATAGAACGAGCGCTAGTACATCATTACCGGTGTCATTTACAATCCAAAAAAGTCTGTTACAATAATAATAATAAAAAAGATTGCATTGAGAAAGTTGAGTTAAGTTTTCAACAATAATTGTAATTATTGAACCCTTGCTCTTATTTTGTTTCTGATTTCTCAGCTTTGTCATTATTTTAGTTAATACATTATTTATATATTTTGAGACGGGTTTTTTTTTAAGAAGTTTCAAAGAATTGGTAAAAGAGTAAAGTAAAAGTTAAAACTTTTTTATTTAAGTAGGCATCTATTTTTTTTTTTATTAAGTATTTATTTTGTATTAACACTGTATTCATTTATAATGAATCATTATTGCGTGACATTTGTGTCAATAATCGTCAAGCACATGTGACCACGTAGTGGGAGGGGGCCCCAAAACAGACCGCCACTGCATGTACCACATCACCAAACTGTATGTTACTATTATGGTGGTGGGATAGACGTTGATTCATAGTGGCCAGTATGTCCCCCCCCCCAATGTCAAAGACGTTCCTACGCCCTTGTATGTGTCTTAAATGCCACAGAGCTATTGGTTCAATTGATTAAGAGTTTCAAAAAGCTCAGTTTCTCCCATCACTATTTTCTATGGCCTATTGTCTACATATAAAATGGCTGCCTGCCAAGTGAACCCTCATACCTTTACAAACCTGTATGGCTTTCTCTCTTTTTCTGTGAAACATAAAGCAGTTTTGGTTATCATTGACCTCAATTGTGTTCAAATTCTTCAAAACATTTTTTATGTTCCACAGAAGAAAGAAGTCATACAGGTTAGGAAGACATCAGGGTGAGTAAATGAGCTGGGTGAACTATCCCTATAATGTCTGGTTTAGATTACACGATTTTTTTTTTTGTCTGTCACGATAGTCACTGTGTCAGATTACGCGATTTTGGCTCCTAAAATCTTGTCGTGTCAATGAACATGTCAGACTACACGTTGCTTCCTGACCAGTCATGATGTCATCTAGAAGGCGAAACTAGTAGCGAGTGACTTCCGGAAATGAACGTAAACAAACAATGGATGTAGCGGTGAGTGTTGTATTGGCTGTCCGTGTTCAGAAAAAAGTTTAAAAAAAAAGAAAACCCGACAATGGACACGTTCCTGGATTGCTCAAAGAGGACAGTATGTGCTGTCAATCCTCCAAAGAGAACTTGAGGTAAAATACTTTTAGTTTTAACGCTAGCACCATCATCTCTCTTTCGTTTCGCCATTTTTGAAAGTTGTGTACGGAAAAGCTTCTCTGCTCCTATCGGTCAACCTCATACATGTGACGGAACCGTCGTGGACGACCGTTAAAATATTAAACATGCCAGTCTTTTTGTCGTGATGTCGTGAATCATCTCAGACGCGACGTAGATTGTCGCCCACTATGACACACTATACGAGATGATACGATCGAATCTTGCGTCCCGACGCCCGTTGACGTTTACGAATCCCCACGACACCCTACATCAAACGGATCGTGCCAAAATCGGGCTAAAATCGTGTAATCTGAACCAGGCATAAGGAGACTTTGGAGAGGCTAAAATTTTGCTCACACAGATATTAGTTAAATTAGTTTTTGTTTTCATTAGATTTGACATTTTTTTAATGAAACTCTTGTACATATGCTCCCTTGGGATTGTGGACAAATAAAGGTATATTAAAATAAAGGTTATTTATTAGCATCAATGATTCCATGAAGAACCTTCAAAATCCATATTTAGTGGTTCTAGTGGGAAAAGGCTCTTTAGATTAATGTTCTACACAAACAATTGCTTTTTTGGGAAGTCTACTTACTGAAAGGTTCTTCAATTGCCATTTTTAAGAGTGTAGCTTTAGTAACAGCCTTCCCATCTGAAATGTGGAATCATACAAGGTTATATATGGAGGTGTTTTTAAGACTTTGAATGTCTCCCTGATAACACGTACATTAGTTGGGAAAAAGGAGGTCCAGAGGGATATTTTAGATGAGAAGGTAAAGTTTGACACAGTGAGTAAATCTAACATCAGAGGTTCTGTGATGCACATCCCTTTTCTACATGTTATTTCCTGCAATCACATGAATAATGTATGCTCTTTTTCATTCTCCGGTCTCTTTTCTCTCTTTACAGCTTCCTTCGGCAACATTTCTTAGCTCACTATCCTTTTGGCAGCTCTCTCGTCTTCCCGGCGGATACAAGAGGCCTTGTTCCTGCTACAGACAGACTGCCAGAGAGAGCGAGAGGAGACTGTTAACTCCAGGCCAATTTAACAGACAGGACCGTCTTTTTATGCAAAACTGGATGGGGTTTCAAAGACTCAAAAGGACAAAGTCGGACTCTAAAACTGTAATATAGTGATACGATTCAAGTCTCACCTCATCTAACCTAGACAACCAAGCAGAGCTCTTACAAGAGTAAGGACGTGGATTGGATCAATGCCTCTCAAGAAGTTGATCTCAGATCCAAATCTCAGATCATGTTACGGGAGCAACACCTCTTGATTTCCAGAGGTTTAAAGTGTTCAGATGTCTGATAGCCCTGCTCTTTTGACCCAGCACCACTCGCTCAGAATGGATGTAGACGCAGTGCTGAATAAATGCTGTTTCTGGAAGTGTGGGAACAACAGACAATTCCTCCTCCTACCTCTCACAATAGATTGTACCATTCCATTTGCAGATGTAAGAAAGAGAATTATATGTAGAATAGGGCATGAAGTTTGATTACCCAACATTTCCCCATTCCTGACTTCTACACAACAGACTAAAGGGACGTTCACACTGACAAAAACAATGACTACATGATCTGAAACTGGATATTAATGTCAATTTGTTTAAAATGAACATTGAATGTTAATTATATCAGATGTGCACACTTAAAAACCAACCACCGTTTTATTTCCTTCTCAGGATGTTCTATTGCTTTCTATGTTGTTCCTGCTGTTACCTTCATCAATGCACTAATTTATATTTTTGATTTCAGTGTCATTTTGAAATTTTGCACACTCAATGTAGATGTTCAGGTTTTCTCCTGATATATCAAGTAATCTGAATATGAATATACCGTTACTCTAGTAGTTAGTTACAGTATGTGTCTAGATCATTGTCACACTCGTAGAAGTCCCAGTTGTCCTCCTTTACAAAGCAATAATGTAAGGCGCTGCCACATGTCTGCATGGATAGACCTGTTTTTAGAGTAGCTACCTTACAATCAGAATCTATAGGTCTGCATCATACTCTACGCAATCAAATGCTTATATATTCTAGCTCAATTTGGTGTGTTGTTCCAAGATGAAGCAATTCGTATATTCAGTTTTTTTTTTCTTTCAGATTTAACTATTGTAAAGACAGAGCAGTAGATTGAAGAGAACACCAAATAGTTGTTGGGTTTCATTGGTTAGGTCATTGTGCTATTGGGATATTTAACCAACATGGCAGTTGTGTTTCCCAACATACTAAATCCAAAAGTCAACTTTTAATGATTGAAATGTGTGTGAACTAGCCTTTTGAGTAATGGGGTTTGTTATCGTCAAGAATGCAAGAAGTCATGTTAAGTATTTTCTATATTTCTTCTGGTATGATAAATGACCTTTTTTGGAGAGAATATACTGCAATTCTTTCCATTTTGTGATTTTGCCATTAGTTAGGCAAAATCTGACCTGAACGCTCACTGAACTTCACTGTGATGCAGTAGCATGTTTGTTTAGGAGGCTTGAATGTTTGTCTGTGTTTAGAGAACAGGGCTGAGTTACAGTAAAATCTCATTTTCACAAAGCAGTTGGAATCTCTGAGTGATTATCTGATGCTCATGACACCAGTCATTGTTCAGTGCTTTTTCACAATGTACTCAAAGCTGACGGAAATCTGGCCAGTTGACACAAACCAGTTCAGTCTATCCAGGTTAAAAGTGAGACTGACAGGCCGGAATTCTCTCTGAAATTGTTTAGACATAATAAAAGATGGTTCGCCAGAGTGTTTTGCTGATTCCTGCATCCTGACACACAAGCATTTTTTCTTTCCAGACAAGTAATGGGTTTCTTTTCAATCTTGTTATGCAAAAATGAGGGAAATGAACATCGGTTATGTAATGACCTGCTACTAACATGATTATACAAGACATGGTTTGGCAAAGGCAGATGTATATGTGTGTTTTGGAATAAAGTTTTAAAAAAATAAATATTTTTCATATGGAAATGTTCTCTTTCACAATTGATTGAAACAAGTATGGTCATCCAAATGCAAAGTTAACTGTGTTAAATATATATATATATATATATATATATACATCTAAATTTTAAATCTAAACATAAATCTTAAATATAAATGTATACTACTGTTCAAAATTTAAAAACATATTTTGGATGTCTCTAGACAAGAAGGCTACATTTCTTCGATTGAATCATTAATCGTCTGATTTTCCCTGTTTTGTCTTAGTTTGAGTTTTCCTTTGTTTGTTGTCATGGTTTTTGATTTGGCCTCAAGTTCTTTAATTCCCATTTGTTTCAGCTTATGTTTGGTTCTCGTCTGTATTATGTTGGGATGCTTTATCTCCTGCTCTTTCATGTTCCCCAGTGTGTTTTTTGTTTTGTCTTTTGTGAATAAAATTGACTGTTGCAAATAGATACTGCTTCCACTCTCCCTTCCAGCATCCAGCAGTGAGAAACTGACACAATTTGATGGATCAAGCAGCAGGAGGGATCCTCCATCTCTCACATGGGGATCACTTCCTCGAGGACCACACTCAGAGTTTCTTAGATCTGGCTCACCTCATTCGTTACCCTGACGACAGCCTCCATGTTTTTCTGAGCAGGACTCAATGGCCAGACGAAAACTCGTCCCCATGTGGAATGGGTGCTTTTTCACTGTGGATCCCCCTCCACCATATGTGAGAGAGAGGAGGGCCCCAACCCTACAGCACCCAAACCAGTCCCCACTTATCTTTCAGAGCCCATCCAGTCCCAATCCATGCCCGCCATGGACCCAAAAACAGAGCCCATGCCTGCCACTGACCTAGTACTAGAGTCTACAACAACCATGGACCCAAAGTCAGTGCAAAATATTGAGCCAGAGCCAGCCACAATAGCCCTCCCAGAGATAGAGCCCATTGCCTGGTACATTCTGAAGCCTGCACCCACTTCCTGGTCCCTCCGAGAGCCAGAGGTTGAGGAATGGCTCATTGACTTGGAGGACACGGAGCCTGTCACCTCCCTTCTTTCCACCCTGAAACTCAGTCACCCTTCCCCGGTCCTGGGGTGCGTTTCCCGAAAGCATCGTTAGCCAACTGTGGTCGCAAGTTCCATCGTTACCAATAGAGATCAATGGAAATTGCGACCAACTTGCGATCTTAGTTGGCTAACGATGCTTTCGGGAAACGCACCCCTGGCTGGTTGGATGGTCTCTCAATTCCCAACCTGTTCCCTGGCCCTTCCTCCTCCGCTGGTCCCACCCAGCAGCAAAGCTCCTTCATCTCTGTTGGTCCTGCGCAGTAACCGGGCTCCTTCATCTCCGCTAGTTGCGCCCAGCAGCCAACCTCCTTTATCCCTGCTAGTCCCGCCCAATAGCCAAGCTCATTGGTCTCTGCTGGTCCGCTCAACAGCCAAGCTCCTTTGTTTCTGCTCGTCCCGCCCAACAGCCAAGCTCCTTTGTCTCTGCTGGTCCCGCCCAACAGCCAAGCTCCTTTTTTTCTGGCTCCGTCCCGTGGCTCGCCCAACAGCCAAGCTCCTTTATATCTGCTAGCCCGCCCAACAGCCAAGCTCCTTAATCTCTGCTGGTGCCGCCCAACAGCCAAGCCTCATTCGTCTCTGCTTGTCCCGGCCAACAAGCCACGCTCCTTTATCTCTGCTAATCCCGCCCAAAGCCAAGCTCCTTTGTCTCCGCTTGTCCTGCCCAACAGCCAAACCCCTTATCTCTGCTAATCCCACCCAACAGCCAAGCTCCTTTTTTCCGCTAGTCCCGCCCAACTGCCAAGCTCCTTTGTCTCTGCTGGTCTCGCCCAGAGCCAAGTTCTCTTTGTGTCCGTTAACATCCGCAACAGCCAAAACTCCTTTGTCTGTTAGCCCGCCCAACAGCCCAGGTCCTTTGTCTCCGCTAGCCCTGCCCAACAGCCAAGGTCCTTTGTCTCCGCTAGTCCCACCCAACTGCCAAGTCCTTTGTCTCCGCTAGCCCTGCCCAACAGCCAAACTCCTTTGTTCTCCGTTAGCCCCGCCCAACAGCCCAGGTCCTTTTTCTCCTCTAGCCCTGCCCAACAGCCAAGGTCCTTTGTCTCCGCTAGTCCCACCCAACTGCCAAGCTCCTTTGTCTCTGCTGGTTCGCCCAACAGCCAACTCCTTTGTCTCCGCTAGTCCCACCAGCCAGCTCCTTTGTCTGTGGTCCTGCCAACAGCCAAGGTCCTTTGTCTCCGCCTAACCGCGCCCAAACAGCCAAAACTCCTTTGTCTCTGCTGGTCCCGCCCAAAGCCAAGCTCTTTGTCTCTGCTGGACCTGCCCAACAGCCAAGCTCTTTTGTCTCTGCTGGTCCTGCCCAACAGCCAAGCTCCTTTGTCTCTGCTGGTCCTGCCCAACAGCCAAGCTCTTTTGTCTCTGCTGGTCCTGCCCAACAGCCAAACTCCTTTGTCTCCGGCGAACCCGCCCAACAGCCAAAACTCATTTATCTCTGCTGGTCCTGCCCAACAGCCAAACTCCTTTGTCTCCACTAGCCCCACCAAACAGCCAAGCTCCTTTGTCTCCACTGGTCCCACCCCAACATCCAAACTCCTTTGTCTCCACTGGTCCTGCCCAACAGCCAAGCTCCTTTGTCTCTGCTTGTACCACCCAACAGCCAAACTCCTTTGTCTCCACTTGCCCCACCCAACAACCAAGCTCCTTTGTCTCCACTGGTCCCGCCCAACATCCCGCTCATCCATCCAAACACCTCGGACTTCCAGGCCTGTGGCTATGCCTGGTTCCTTCAGTCCTGCTGCTCCACCAGGCTCCTCCATCTCTTTGGCGGCTCTGTTGTCCTCGCTCCCAACGGTGTTGCCTTACGCTTTCCAAGCCCCAGCTCCACCTTTGTTTTACAGATCTCCTGGCTCCTCCTGTGGTGTCAACCTATCCCTCTGTCTCCCCGACTTCGCCTGGATCTCCAGCTTCCCTGACTCTGTTGCCCTTTTCCCCGGCTCCGCTCTGCTTATCACCACACAGAGCTCAGCTGTGGCCAGCCGTTCCTTTGGCATTGTCAGGGAACCCCATAGCATCCATTCAGAGTCTTCTTGGACTTTTCACCTTGCACCCCTATGGACTTGTATTACCTTTTAGCAATCCTTTCCACCCACAGAGTTACCCTCTCCTCTCCACTTTGGTGATGTTTTTGGTTATGGTGCCAGGAAGCGCCGCCTGGGGAAGGATGTAAATGTCAGGATTCATCTGTGTTTTTCCCTGTTTTGTCCTGGTCTGAGTTTCCTTTGTTTGATGTCATAGTTTTTGATGGGCCCTTATGTGTTACACCTGTGCACTGATGGGCAGTAACGCGTTACTGTAATCCAATTACTTTTTTCTAGTAACGAGTAAAGTAAGGGATTACAATTAAAAAAAAACAGTAATTAGATTACCGTTACTTCCCCGTAAACAGCCTGCGTTACTGTGTTAGTTAACCGTGATTTTGTTTAGTCAGACTGTCTCGTGACATGAGTCGTGCGTGAATAACAATGATGTATGAGCGCCACGACATCATCAGAGACGACTAGAGCGCGGGAGAGAGCAGCCGAGCTGCCAACTCTCACACACGCTCACACGACACACCCCTGATTTCTCGCGCTGAAGTGTCAATCCCGTCGGTCAAATGCCTGAAAGATGAGTTTATCTATAAATCTAACCGTTGAGCCACATTTGTGATTGACTAGTTATACCGCAAATTAGTTAAAATCTCCCGGAATCTAGAGCGAGCGCGCATGCAAGACTGTGTTCCAAAGTCCAAACTTCGTATCGCGCGCACGACGAGGAGAGCAAGAGAGACTTGCGTACTATGCAGAGAGCATCCTGATCTAGAAACTGGACCCCCGTTGGAGAATGTCAAAATTCTACCTCAAATCTGAGCAAGCATGTCACGAGACAGTCTCACACGGTTAACTAAAGCAGCAAGCCGGTACAGGAATGTGAAACTTACTGAAAAAAACCCTGAACCCCCGTCTGACATGACCGCTGCGGCTAGCCGGCTACATAACCACTGTTTAACTCCGAAAGAAAAAAAAAAACAAGAAAAAAAACATGAAGCCAAAATACGGCATGCAACAGCATTTTCTGTTTTGATCAACTAATTTTTACTCCTCTCTGCACTTTACTGTTAAAAGACGTAAGTGTTAATACTTTGTAATATAGTCAGGAGCGACTTTCATGACTTTATTGCTGTATTTTTACATCTATTCAAATGAAGGATTTTACAAAATATATTTATTTTATATGCTGGAATATGTAGAAATGTATATTAACAGAAGAAGGGCTGTCTTTATTTCATGAAAATGGTGGAATGTGCAGAAAATAGGTTTAAATGTTCAACAATTTTCTTCTAGTCTGAGACTTGCATTTAATTTAATTTTTGCTCGATGCAATGTGCATAGAGTTAAAATATTGAAACAAATAAAACAAGTTTAAAAAAAGAGAATGTTTAATTTGATTACATTTTAGATTATGGAATGTGCAGAAAGAATAGAATTAGGCTGAAAGGTCTATGCTTTAGCGTATTCAGGTCGTGCATCATGTTTTTGAAAAGTAACTTAGTAAAGTAACTAATTACTTTTGAAAATAAGTAATCAGTAAAGTAATTCGATTACTTTCTTGGAGAAGTAATCAGTAATCAGTAACTAATTAATATTTCCAAGTAACTTGACCAACACTGCACCTGTGTAGTGTAGTTAATGTCGTTTTGTTCTGTGTATTTAATCCACGTTTGTTTCAGTTCATGGTCTGGTCTCATCTGTATTATGTTGAGTTGCTTTATTTCCTGATCTCTCCTTGTCTCCAGTGTTTGTTTTCTTTTGTAAATAAAAGTGACTGCTGCAAATAGAACCTGCTACTTCTCCCTTCCTGCAACCAGCCGTGACTGAAAATTATAATGTGATTATTATAAATGTTAATGTTAAATTTATTCCAGTTATGGCACAGCAGTATCAATGTCACATGATCCTTCAGAATCATTCTAATATGCATATATTCTGCTCCAGA